GTGTAAAAGGGAGATCAAGAGGAAAGTGGTGAGTTTCTTTATTGAGCTGTACACAAGCTTTCGGACGTCACCCGTCCTTCATCAGGTGTTGACATGAATAAGAAGGAGATGCTATATTTATAAGCGACAGTTTAAAAGTATTAAAAATATTAAAAACAATCTGATGCACGCCCGCGAGAGCACATGCTAATAACAAAATAAAATATTTTCAATTTTACTCTGTATAAATATTATTTTGAGTTTGTATAAAGAATATCAGCCCGTTGAAAATCTGTATACCTAAGACGAAGTGAGAAAGGCGGACAACGAGAGGCGAAGACAAAAGCAAGAAAAAACAACAATAAAAATAAAAAATAAAAATAAAAAATCAGCGGAATAAAGATAAAGTTAAAAGTTACGAAGAAAGTGTATCTGAGGTAGAATAAAAAACAGAATATTGGGGCGGGAGGTCAATCTTTCTGTTGAGGCTGGGGGTAGTATTAGAAACAAGGGCCTCAAGAACTAAGCGTTGGTATTTGTTTGCTATATCGCTATAAATGGGGGTTGTGTTGTCGAGATTGAAGGAATGTCCGGACTCGGCGATATGTTGGTATATGAGCGATTTTTTGTCTTTCGAGCGGATGTTACGGGCGTGTTCACTGGCTCTGATGGCGATTGTTCGGCCTGTTTCTCCAATGTAGTGTAAATCGCAATCGTTACAGGGAATTTTGTAAACGGCGTTGGAAAGGGATTGGGGGTTACGTTTGGCGGAGCTTTTTGTGATAGGATGTCTTAAGAAGGTGTGAAGGGAAGGTGTGCACTTGTAAAAAATGCGAATGCCGTATTTACGTAAAAAGGAACCAATACCGGAATTCGTGGTGGAGTATGGGAGGACGCAGGTGCTTTTAAATACAGGAGGTGTGGTTCTTTTTTGGTTGGGTGTGAAAAAATGCCGGTCGATAAAACTGCGTGGATAGCCCGCGGACAGGAGATGCGAGTAGACCGTACGCCTCTCGATATTGTTAAAGAAAGGGAGGGAACAGTGGGTGTAGATACGTTTGGAAAGAGTTCGGACGGTGGTGATCTTGTGGGAGACGGGGGCGTGGGATGAAAAATGTAGGTACGAGGGGGTAAAGCCAGGTTTGCGAAAGACCGTTGTGTGAAATTTAACGTCGGTGTTAATAATTAAAATGTCTAAAAATGGAATACAGTTAGAGCGGGACGGGTTGTGTGTAAAAAGTAGATCCGGATGGTAAGAGTTTAGAGCGGAGAGAATGGGCGAATGATCGGTATCTCGATGCAGGCAGAAAATGTCGTCTACGTAACGTAACCAAGTAACAACCCCCAAATGATCCTTGGACATCAGCCATTGGTCTAGCCCTAGCATGACAATCTCCGCTGCGATTGTGGAGAGAGGACTGCCCATAGGGGAGCCTCGTATCTGTAGAAAGGAACGGCTGTTGAATTCGAGGGTATTCATACCAAGACAGATAGTAAACAGATCTATTATCGATTTCCACAATCGCAGCGGAGATTGTCATGCTAGGGCTAGACCAATGGCTGATGTCCAAGGATCATTTGGGGGTTGTTACTTGGTTACGTTACGTAGACGACATTTTCTGCCTGCATCGAGATACCGATCATTCGCCCATTCTCTCCGCTCTAAACTCTTACCATCCGGATCTACTTTTTACACACAACCCGTCCCGCTCTAACTGTATTCCATTTTTAGACATTTTAATTATTAACACCGACGTTAAATTTCACACAACGGTCTTTCGCAAACCTGGCTTTACCCCCTCGTACCTACATTTTTCATCCCACGCCCCCGTCTCCCACAAGATCACCACCGTCCGAACTCTTTCCAAACGTATCTACACCCACTGTTCCCTCCCTTTCTTTAACAATATCGAGAGGCGTACGGTCTACTCGCATCTCCTGTCCGCGGGCTATCCCCGCAGTTTTATCGACCGGCATTTTTTCACACCCAACCAAAAAAGAACCACACCTCCTGTATTTAAAAGCACCTGCGTCCTCCCATACTCCACCACGAATTCCGGTATTGGTTCCTTTTTACGTAAATACGGCATTCGCATTTTTTACAAGTGCACACCTTCCCTTCACACCTTCTTAAGACATCCTATCACAAAAAGCTCCGCCAAACGTAACCCCCAATCCCTTTCCAACGCCGTTTACAAAATTCCCTGTAACGATTGCGATTTACACTACATTGGAGAAACAGGCCGAACAATCGCCATCAGAGCCAGTGAACACGCCCGTAACATCCGCTCGAAAGACAAAAAATCGCTCATATACCAACATATCGCCGAGTCCGGACATTCCTTCAATCTCGACAACACAACCCCCATTTATAGCGATATAGCAAACAAATACCAACGCTTAGTTCTTGAGGCCCTTGTTTCTAATACTACCCCCAGCCTCAACAGAAAGATTGACCTCCCGCCCCAATATTCTGTTTTTTATTCTACCTCAGATACACCTTCTTCGTAACTTTTAACTTTATCTTTATTCCGCTGATTTTTTATTTTTATTTTTTATTTTTATTGTTGTTTTTTCTTGCTTTTGTCTTCGCCTCTCGTTGTCCGCCTTTCTCACTTCGTCTTAGGTATACAGATTTTCAACGGGCTGATATTCTTTATACAAACTCAAAATAATATTTATACAGAGTAAAATTGAAAATATTTTATTTTGTTATTAGCATGTGCTCTCGCGGGCGTGCATCAGATTGTTTTTAATATTTTTAATACTTTTAAACTGTCGCTTATAAATATAGCATCTCCTTCTTATTCATGTCAACACCTGATGAAGGACGGGTGACGTCCGAAAGCTTGTGTACAGCTCAATAAAGAAACTCACCACTTTCCTCTTGATCTCCCTTTTGACAGCTATCTGGAAATCCCTTGATGTATGCCTTAACCAACCATCCCTGCATCAAGCAGAAGGAAATTTAATATACAGTGACTCCATATCCGCTCTAGAAGCAATTCAGAAGGGCAATATTAAAATCACACAGAAAATACACTCGTTACTTACCCAACTGGAACCATTGGAGAATAACTGCATTCTACAATGGATCCCTGCCCATTCTGGGATCGGGGGTAATGAAATGGCATTTGAATTGGCAAAGGAAGCCAGAAAGTTGAGCCAAAGGAAAGAACAAATGTCATTATTTGGCGCTGATTCTTTGTCAAAATACAAGATAATTAAACAATAAATAAGAAAAGATCAAAATGCGAAATAAACTCTGAGAGAAAAATGACAAAAACTATAACAAGACTTAGAACAAAACACTATGAGGGAATAACAATACATCCAGATGGCACAATAACCTATAGGGAATGCAACAATTGTCCTGGTGTGGAACTTACACCTACCCACATATTCTCATAGCCAGCAATGGCCGCAGCCTTGCAGAAAATTGACATAGACCCAGAGCAGCAGCTTTACACACCCAAGATAGTGGACATTGCTGCTGCTGTGATGGAGATGCATGAAGACATCTGAGGCTTTTTATTGGACACGACAACAACAACGGCATTCCAGAGTAAAATAAATTATCAGAGATAGATACATATTTTTCATATGAATTAAAATAAATATAATCGATACTGAGAGAGAGTTGAATTAAAAATATTAGAAATTTATTATCTTCGTAAACAAACCGATCTAAAATATCAATTTTTTTTTTTTGCTACATGTTTAATTTGCATTTACCTATTTTACATATCTCTGATTGTATTTAAAAATTGTTAACCAATTCTTCATACTTTTTGCGAAGTGGTGTTTTACTAATTTGTTATTTGATGTTATTAGGGTTCTTTCCTGGTATTCAAAAAGGAAAAATACGTGTCGATCAGTTATATTTTTCAATTTATCAAAAAATTTGGCCGCTGAATCTCTGGTTCTGGTAGTGCGCCATCTGGCGAATAAAATTGTAACTAAAATCAATTTCGAATTTTTCATTATTTGCCATAAAAAATCACATTGCATCCTGAACACAATGGTGTTTACCGCATTGCTCTAGCGCAAATATTCGCGGAGTTATTAATTTTTAAAATAGTGCGGGACTTTTGGATCACCCTGTATAATTGGACAAGACACCACCACCTTTTCCAATTAGTTAATATATTCACTCCAGAGAGTAGTAATAATAATAAGTTACAATTATTCTGATAAAAAAATTCTCATAGTTTGAGATTTCTTATCAAGCAGGAGGCGATTTATATAGAATATCAATAAATATATTGTTCATTGGAATGATAACTTTTCCATTTTTAAATTGTAAAATTAAATCAGAGATAAAGTAGTGATATAAAAGAATTTATTCAAATAGAGTCGAAATATTTTTCTAACTCTATGAATGCATCTTCAGATATTTTACATTTTAAAATTTAATAAAAATAATCACTCCTTTGAAAATACAAAATAAAATCGTTCTATATAATTTCAATATATATATACCATATCTAGTGGAGTGATTGAATATATGAATATTATAGCTGATATAAAATTTTATCTTAATATAATATATACCTACTTATATGTTCATATAAATATTATGAAAAATTATATATACATTATATTATGATTGAATATATATTTATTTCTATAAATAATATATTATTTTTAAACATTATTAATAGCAATTTAATATGACTAAATATATCTTTAAAATAAATTTATGTAAACTCCAAGCAATGTGAATACATATTTATTTTGGTTTGTAATTGTGTAGGGGCATCAAAATTCAAGCGTTGCTTTGGGCCGGCAACCCTTTACACTGGAGAATTCTCCAGAGCTTGTATTTATTCTGGGGAATTTATTGATTCAGGTAAGTCTTAATTTACCAGTTTCACATATATTTAATATTTTCGATAATATTATATTATTTTCAAAAGTATTAAAATATACAAGTATCAGAGTCATCAATCAATTCTTAATTCTGTCACTGTTTGCTTTTGTGAATGGAATAAATACCCAAATATGGCCATTTCTCATAAGCATCGATGGTTCAGTGGTAAAATGCTAGCCTGCCAGGCGGGCGGCCCGGGTCGATTCCCAGCCGATGCATTTTTTTTTTTACAATTTTTAAAACTCATTTATATATTATACAAGAATGACATCCACGGCGCCAATTTATAATTGTAACGAATAGTATTTGAATAAAAGCATTTAATCGGGTAAAACCCGGGCGTTGCTCCTGTCATTCGGCTAGTTATTCATAATTGAAAAGGCATATATTTGATTAAAAATAATTTGATTCAATATATATGCCTTTCAAATTAAAGATATTTTTATGGATTGCTCTATTTTCAAAATTATGCCTAATATTTTAATATACTATTATACTTTGAAAGAATCAAATTGTATTTATATATATAAATATATTTGATGATGTGAATGTATATATATATATAGTTGCTTTGTAATTGTGCAGGGGCTCAAAATTCAAGTGTTGCTTTGGGGCGGCAACCAACCACATGGAGTATCTCCAGACTTCATTGGCATGTGATATCAAAATTCCGGGGCATTTGATCCAGGTAATTCTTAAATTTTTGTTTAGTCATATAATAAATCGAGACACGCCATATCAAAGCCATATATATTTTTCAATATATAATGTTCTAGACATGATATTTACAGGATATTATTCAGTAATGTGAAGATTCAAAACATATACCACTCATTGAGCCTTTCAGATATGATTTAGGTATAAATAATTCAATTTATTGTCAAACATCTTCAAATTGATGCCATAAAACATAACTTTGAAAATTTGTTTTCTCAAAATATTCAAGCATCTGCTTTTCCGATGAAATATTCATTGAAAAGTATTTACAGAGAAATCATTGATTTTGATGAACGGCCTATTTTCTAATACACACACACACACACAAAGCCTTTATTAAGACACTAGTCTTATACAGATTCTCCGTACAAGGTGCAATATCAGGAAAAGAGCAGCACAGGAAACCAGTAGCTCCGCAACTATATACAATTATTAGTAATAAGGAAAAGTAAGATTTGATATGAAAGGTCGACGCCATCGCCCCAAGTCTTCAATTCCATAAGCGCGGAGCAGAAATAGGGATTGAGTTGTTTAGTTCGCCATAAATATAGTATCCAGACACAAAAAAGGAGGTTTACTCCAGCACAGCCATCCATATTACCAGCTTCGCAATCTCATCGTCGACCAACACGATGGCTCCTCGAAGTTTCGTCATCATTCTAAGGTGTAAGAACATTCTATTTTCTAATATACATATATCATTTCGAGATCATGGGCCTCCCCAATGTACTCATTGAATAAATTTGTAACAAATATAATGTGCAGGTGTTTCCTGGGCTTTCTGTATATATATCCTCCTCTAGAGGCTGTTTCCAACTTAAAAGGTGAGTAAATGTCTTCTTTAATATTAGTATTAGTTGAAGATTTATCCCAGCTCAGTTTGGTCTCTTCTGACGTGACACTCTAGGGCGTTAACTTCACCTTGCCAGGTGAACAGCTTGGATAGATATTTCTACCTCCTATAAGATAAACCACTTCAGAGTGAGACACATTTCTCACTTTAATTTGATTACTATGAAAATTGTTAAAATGATTTCTCATATTATTTCCATAAAAATATATTTATAATTTCTGTGTTAGGATGAAGGGGCAACAAAGTGAAGCGTTGCTTCAGGGCCTTAGAACCCTGAAATTGTTTTCAATATATTAAGATTAGGTAGATATTTCGAATGAAAATAAATGGATTGAATTCTTTCGTTGTATAGGAGCGGTGACACCTTTGCGGTGATACCATTCTGGAGATGTCGCACCAAGGAGCAGCGTCGACGAAGATGGGGGCGTCCTCGTCGACAATTATCCATGGCAGCGACGTCTATCATCGTGGCGTCTACTTGGATATTGATGACGTTTGTCTCTACAGCCTCGTTCTGGACGTCGTTGTAACCTTTTCTGTCCTTTTCACGCCTCTCTGGAAATCTTTGAAAACGGTATCTGTCATTGGGACAACATCGGCAACATCTTTCGGTCATCGAGACCTTCCTTGTCCTTGGAAAGACTCTCTGCACGTCTTCGAGACTTTCCTGTTCTTTTCACGTCTCTCTGGACACCTTTGAAACGGTATCTGTCATTGGGGCAACATCAGTATATCGTTGAGAAGACGTTTGTGATCAAAACATCCTTCTAGAAATGGATGGATGGAATCGTCTCTCTCGGGAAGTATTTGACATGATATCTGTCATCGTGTGTGACAACTACTTCATATCGTTGAGAAGAAGGTTTTGTTGAAACTCTTTTTGACTCTGATGAAAGGCCGTGAATCATAGAATTGTCATTCTGTAGATCCTTATAATGATATTTGTTATTATACAAACAACAACATATCGTTGAGCATAGTCTTTGATCAAAATCTCTCCCTGGACATTGATAAATAACAAAGAATCATCGAGGCGTTTCTCTGGAGGGAAGTGTAATAAAGTCCACCCAAGTCAGTCGTTCTGAATATCGTGAAAGGACGCCTCTCGAATATAAATTTATATTTGATTCATTGCTAACAAATCCTTCTAAAACGATTGAAGGCAATTTGAAAATAGTAATTTGAAATTTATCATTATGATCTCATCCAAAAGATATTTTAAAGTGAACTACCATCTGTGCGTTTTTTACATTATCTGAAATTCTTATTGAATGCAAATTATAGATTGAAAGTACCATTTTGTTCTTTCAGTTTTTGATATGAGGAAATAGCATCGCATTCTTTGTCCCATGAATGTCTGTAGAAATACCCAACTAGACAAGAATATGAATCTTATATCGGTTATTATATACAATCAATCTACAAATAGAAAATATAGAAGATTCTTTTGAAATTTATATTGATATATTGTGACATATTTCGGGAATAATACTTAATGAATGATCCCTTCTCTCCAAGTTCAAGAAACTTTTCTATGGCTCATCCTTGTTTCCCTATTGATCATATATAGAGCTGCCAAAATATCTAGTTCTCTTCATGTTCAAGAACGCGAATTTTCTATGGCCTATCCCATGCGCCGCTATTGAACAGATATGAAGCTCCAAATATCCCTTTCTCTTCATGTTCAAGGAGACAAACTTTCTATGGCCCATTCCATGTCCCGCTATAGATCTTATATCTCTCAATATCCCTTTCTCTCTAAATATTGAAGAAATTAAATTTTCAAACATCCATCTCATGCTCCACTATTGATCATCTATAAGGACGCCAATATCCCATTTTCTACATGTCCAAGAAGATATCGCTTCTATAGCCCATCCCATACTCCACTATTTATTATATTAAATGCTCCGAAATATTCCATTCGCTCATATTCGAGAACGCAATTTTTATAGTCCCGCTATTGATTATAAAGTCCCCAATAATATTTTTTTATCCATGATTAAGAAAACAACGTTTCAAAAGCCCCGTCCTACATTCCCCGCTATTAACCAGATATAAAAGATTCCCCCAATATCTCTTTCATTCATATTCAAGAACGAAACTTTTTTATTATCGATCCCATGCCCCGTTATTGATCAGAAATAAACCTGCCCATATCCATTTTTTCATAAAGGTCCACGAAGAAAACGTTTCTATGATCCATCCCATGCCCCGTTATTGATCAGATATAAAGCTCCCAATATCCCATTCTCTACAAGTTCATCAACTTTACAATGACGCATCCCATGCTTCGCTATTGATCAGATATAAAGCTCCCAATATCCCTTTCTCTAAAAGTTCATCAACTTCACAATGACTTATCCCATGCCCCTCTATTAATCAGATATAAAGCTCCCAATATCCCATTCTCTACAAGTTCAATAAATCAACTTTACAATGACTTATCCCATGTCCCGCAATTGATCAGATATAAAGCTCCCAATATCCCATTCTCTACAAGTTCATCCACTTTACAATGACTTATCCTATGCCCCGCTATTGATCAGATATAAAGCTCCCAATATCCCTTTCTCTAAAGGTTCATCAACTTCACAATGACTTATCCCATGCCCCTCTATTAATCAGATATAAAGCTCCCAATATCCCATTCTCTACAAGATCAAAAAATCAACTTTACAATGACTCATCCCATGCCCCGCAATTGATCAGATATAAAGCTCCCAATATACCATTGTCTACAAGTTCATCAACTTTACAATGACTTATCCCATGCCCCGCTATTGATCAGATATAAAGCTCCCAATATCCCATTCTCTACAAGATCAATAAATCAACTTTACAATGACTTATCCCATGCCCCGCTATTGATCAGATATAAAGCTCCCAATATTCCAATCTCTACAAGATCAAAAATTCAACTTCACAATGACTTACCCCATGCCCCGCTATTGATCCTATATAAAGCTCCCAATATACCATTCTCTCTACAAGTTCAAGAAATCAACTTCACAATGATCCATCCCATGCCTCGCTATTGATCAGATATAAAGCTCCCAATATCCCATTCTCTATAATTTCATCAACTTCACAATGACTTATCCCATGCCCCGCTATTGATCAGATATAAAGCTCCCAATACCCCAATCTCTTCAATTTCAAGAAATCCACCTCAAAATAACCTATTCCATATGCTCCGCTATGGAACAGATATAAAGCTCCCAATATACCATTCTCTACAAGTTCAAGAAATCAACTTCACAATGACTTATCCCATGCCCCGCTATTGATCAGATATAAAGCTCCCAATATCCCATTCTCTACAAGTTAAAGAAATCAACTTCACAATGACTTATCCCATGCCCCGCTATTGATCAGATATAAAGCTCCCAATATCCCAATCTCTTAAATTTCAAGAAATCCACCTCAAATTACCTATCCCATATGCTCCGCTATTGATCAGATATAAAGCTCCCAATATACCATTCTCTACAAGTTCAAGAAATCAACTTCACAATGACTTATCCCATGCCCCGCTATTTATCAGATATAAAGCTCCCAATACCCCAATCTCTTCAATTTCAAGAAATCCACCTCAAAATACCCTATCCCATATGCTCCGCTATTGATCAGATATAAAGCTCCCAA